AACCAAATTCAGTGGCATAGCTCAACACAAAGTCAACACTCAGAAATCAATAGCTCTCGACTCAGATTGTCTGGGAAAGCAGTCTGTGTCCCCTGCAGCCCTCAGACACTCAAAAATCAATACACAAATATCAGCCTGACAGAGATAAGCCAGGGAAACACCTTTCACAATTGCTTTCCCCAAAATGAAATAGTTAGGAATCAATCTGATGAAGGACATAAAAGACCCTTACATTACAAACTATAGTACTCTGAAAAATGCAGATCAAAGAGGGTATGAGAACATGGAAAGATGTCCCTTGCTCTTGAATAAGAAGAGCCAATATGGTAAAAATGGCCATACTTCTAAAATTTCTGTGCAGATTTAATGCAAGCCTGATCAAAATTTCAACAGCACACTTCACAGATTTAGAGAAAACAATCCTAAAGTTTGTTTGGTACCAGAAGAGACCTTGAATAGCAAAAGCAATTCTAAGCAACAAAGGAAAGGCAGTGGGCATCATGGTTCCTGATTTGAAGCTATACTACAAAGCCACTGTGATAAAACCAGCATGGCACTGGCAAAGAAACAGACCTGAGGATCAGTGGAACAGGTTAGAAGATACAGAAAGAACTCCAAACACACACAGCCACCTTATCTTTGACAAAGGAGCCAAACATGTTCACTGGAAGAAAGAAAGGCGGCCTCTGTAATAAATGGTGCTGGGAAAACTGTCTTGCCACCTGCTGAAGGCTAAAATCATGAACTAAAAGTGAAATGGATCAGAGATCTAAATGTCAAAACAAACATTAAATCTTCTAGGCAATAGAACAGGTAGAACTCCTGGAGACAGAGATGTAGACCAAGACTTCGTGAACAGAACCTGGGTCCCCCAGGAACAGAGTCAACCCCAGGCCAGTATTTGAATGCATGTGACAAAGCAGAACCTACTGTTCTTTTATCAGCACAAGGCCCACGGATACAAAATGTCTATTTCTGTACTTAGACATAAAATTTAAAAGCAAAACATTGAAAGCAACTTCGTGCTGCAGTTTACTGCGCCAGGTCCCTACTGAAGCCCGTGTGATTGTCCGGCCTCTGTGCATCCCAGCTCACTGTTAGAAAAGGTCGGGCCCAAAATACTGCCTTTCTGTGAGAACTGGAGCTAAAATAGCAGCTTTCCCAGGCGCTGGATGTCACCCGACCTTGCAGGCTCCAATTTAAGATCTAAGCAGCCAGGTGCTCACCGTGTGACCAGCACTAACAGAGCGACTGTGAGATTGTGAATTACCACTGTAACAGGGCTGCAGGGAAACAGACTGCTTTCCCAGACAATCTGACTCAGAGCGAGGCTGCCCAAGGTGCCCTTTCCCACTCCTGATTTGTCTCCAAGTTCTACTTAAGATTCTGCCAGAGGGATGCAGGGTTGAATATTTTTTTCTTTTTCGGACAGGCTCTCACTGTATAGCCCTGGCAGGCCTCGAGTTCCTGGTAGTCCTCCTGCATCAGCCTCCCTGATGCTGGGGTTACAGCTGTGCACCACTATACCGGGCTTCCAAGGGTTTAAGCATTAAATATTAGGCACAGTATTATTAATAACAAATATTTCCTAAGAACCGTGTATGAGCCAGGCACTGCTGGACCAGAGGAGATAAGGTGAAGAACCTAGACCCAGCCTTCCAGTCCACTGGCAGAAGCCAGAGGAAGGGCTATGTCCGCGGATGAATGGATAAAGTAGCGAGTCTTTTGTACCGTGGAGTACTGTCCTGCCATCCAGGAGGATAATCTTGAGAGCTTTCTAGGTACATGGATGCAGCGTCAGCCCGTACTCCTCAGTGAAATCAACCAGGCACGCGTGGTTAAGCAGGGCATAATTTCTCTGGGTGTGAGAAAATAACAGTGTAAATGGGCCAGGTGTGTAACAGATGGTGTGAGCTAGCAAGAGAACGCTCAATGGGGGGGGGATAAAAAGAGAATATAAGGAGAGAATGGAATCAAAACTTTTGTAAATAAGGAGGGGAAGAGAGGTTGAAGGGAGGGGAGGGGAGGGGAGGGGAGGGGAGTGGGAAGAAAAATAATCAAGACAGCAGGCACAGTAGGAATCTTCTATGTTGAATGTGACCGTTGTGTGTATTGCAACTGTACCAAGATCTGATTGAAAAAAAATAAAAATAAAAAAAGCACATGGGGCTGGGGATTTAGCTCAGTGGCATAAGCATCTGCCTTGCAAGTGCGTGGTCGTGAGTTTGATGCCTGGTATCGATAAAAAAAATAAAAAATAAAAAAACAAGAACACACACACACACACACACACACACACACAAGAAAAAAGAAAGACAGAGAAGGGCTGTTATGGCTGTACATAACATGCCAAGCAATTGTGTGTGCCTTGATCTCTAGTGGTTTCTACTTTACCATTGGCTTTTCAAACTGCATATTGCAATTCATTAGTAGGTCCCAAAATACATCTTCAGAGTAGTTTTACAAAAAGTAATAAAAATTTTCGCTGGACATGGTATTGTACATCTGTAATTTCAGCATTGGGGAGGCTGAGGCAGTAGGGTCACCATGAGTTCGAGGCCAGCCTGAACTACATAGTAAGACCCTATCTCAAAATAATAATTAAAAAAAAAAAAAAAAAAAGGCTGAGGATGTAGAAGGCCCTGGGTTCAATTCCCATGCCAAAAAAATAAAAAGGAAAGATTTTATTTTTCAAGACAGGGTCTTGCTATACATTTCAGAGTGGCCTTGAACTCACTATGTAGCCAGGCTGGCCATGAACTTGTGGCTATCCTCCTGCCTCAGCCTCCCCAGGCTGGGGTTACAGGTGTGCGCCAAAATACTTGGGCCTCAGGAGCTGGGGATTTAGCTCAACAGCATAAGCGCCTGCCTTGCAAGTCTGTGGTCGTGAGTTCGATCCCTGGTACCGGTAAAAATACAAAACAAACAAACAAACAAACAAACAAAAAACCAACTTGGGCCTCTAAATAATTATGGAATACGTGAATAGGATGCGGAGCTAATCTGCAGAGAAACCTATCTAAACATGCAGTAATCGGAATGGCCAGTTTAAGAGGGCTGTGTGGAATTACAGCATGTCTAGATTGCTACTTTAATAATTCCTGCTAAATTCACTGTGTGCCATGTTCACCACTTTAAGTTCTTTGTCTCATCCAGTACTGAAACTCTTCTGTAAATTAGAATGAGAAGACAGAGTCAGGTGAAAAAGCCAAGGCTGGAAATAAAAGGACCACGTTCTTCAGATGAGCTGGGCACCTGGCTGACCGAGTGTCAGGTTTGTCCACCTGCTAAGGCACCTGGTTCCCTGCTTCGAGTAGCAGCCCACAGAGCGCATGTGTGAATTCTCATACCATGGCTGCCTGACTGTGTCATCTCATTACAGTGCCTGTAATGCTGGCACTCAGGAGGTTGAGGCAGGAAGGCCACAAAACCGAGGGCCGGTGTGGACAATTCAGTGAGGATCTGTTGCAAAATAAAGAAGTGCAAAGGCTGGGGAGGTATGCAGTGCAAAGGCCCTGAGGTCAATTTCTATACCAAAACAAATAATACAGACATACACCTGACAAAGCCCCAGTCTGAAGTACTCTGGTCCAGCCTGGCCTTTATGTGTCTTGATCTGGTGCAATGTTACTGTGGGTAACATTTTGAAATGGTGCAATGTTACTGTGGGTAAACCTCACCCGCTTTAATTGGCTCCACATTACCGGGTGGGTGTTTTCTGTCTTTTCCTATTAATGGCACTGCTTTGGTAAACGGCTGGATCACAGAGCACTTCCCTAGTGTAGGATCTGGAAATGGGATTTCTCCATCAAAGGAAATAGGCATTAAAAAGTGACCTGGCAGATGGTGGCCAGTTCCTTATAAGAAGCTGTGTTGTTTTTGTGCTTCTGTCGGCGTAGCAGTCAGTAGCAGTCACCCCAACCTTACAGAACTGGACTGGGGGGTCAGGATCGCCTGCTTCCCCGCTTGTCCTCTCACTCTCCACCCTCCTGCCTCAGCCTTCCCAGTGCTGGGGTTACAGCCTGGCCAGCGCGCGTGGCTCCAACACTGTGAACATTTTTGATGGGGCTTCAGATGTAGATGAGTGGATTCAATCTCCAGCACTAGAAAAAGCACATTTTCTTCTTTCCTTTCTTTCTTTCTTTCTTTTCTTTTTCTTTTCTGGGGGAGGGAGGATTTTTTGTTTGTTTTTTAAGATTTTGCTCCCCTATTAGATGAGAACTATTATTTGTTTGCATTCTTCTTGACTGTCGTGAGGCCCGGTGTCTGTTTGTGTGGTTCAGGGGTGCCTTATTTCCCCTCTGCGAGCTGTCCTATCCTGCTGAGTGGTGAGCCTTGTTCACCTTGCAGGAGATTTTTACATATTGAAGAAATCCCAGTTTGCACTGTGTTTAGGATGCTAGCCTGGGAGTCAAGGCCTGGAGAGGGACGGCCCAGAAGAGCTGGAAAATGTGCCTATTCTGTTTTCTGGGCGGAGAGTCGGTCTCAATCTGGTTTATGTGTAAACTGTATCTTAATAAGGAAATTTAAAAATATGATTCTGTAGTATTTTTTTGAAACAGGGTCTCACTATGTAGTCTAGGCTGGCCTGGAACCCATGACAATCTTCCTGCCTGAGCCTCCTGAGCGCTGGGATTACAGGTGTGCATAACCACACCAAGCATGAAAATATTAACTTGTATAAATGATATGGGCCCAATACTCTGGAAACAGTAAAGCAAGACAGTGTTAGTATTTCTAATGAGCAGGGTGCAGAGGCAGACACCTATAGTCCCAGCACTTGTGAAGCTGAGGCAGGAGGGTCACTGCAAGTTTGAGGCCATATAGTGATCATATCCAAGGCCAGGCTGACCTGTATAGCGAGTCTCAAATACCAACCAAACCAAACCAAACAACCCCTCAAACCAGATTCTTATTAATGTATGTATGAAACTGTCATAAATTACTTCCCAGGGGTTGCCTTTTGGATCCTTTTCATAGATTGAAAACCCACGAGGAAATAATTAAAATGATACAATTTATTTCAATATAATGATATAGATGTGCACATACACTATTTTAAAAATAAGCCTGTAAATCATAATCGTTACAAAACACAAACCAGCCCTCGTTTAACATCACCAGAGTAAAAGTGCGGTGTGGAAGTCGGGTCATGGGGTCCGCTTGCCCCTGAGCAGTGGGGGCCCAGGAGTCCACGCTGGGCTGCCCCTGTATGCTGCAGCGCCCGCCGCACGCACTGTTTCTAGCTTGTGTCTGAGCAACTCGGATCTCTCAACCTGTGCAAAGTCCCCTTGCTAAGTCCGCTAGGCTGAGTCCCCGAGAAACTCCCAGCATCCAGGAAACCCTGAGCAGTTACTCGGCTCACACTGCGGTTTTCGGAGGGCGGACTACTGCTGTTAAGGTCGCACTTGGTAAGGCCTAGGAAAACAGAAGCTACGAGGGTGACAATCTAAACTAGGCTCGGTGTCTCGCTACGAAGTCGAAGTCGTTGTGTTCCCAAAGCAGGCGCCTCTGCCAGGCCTAGTCCTCCCCCGGCCACCTCCCGTGGCCCTGGCCGTGGCCCTGGCTGTGGCCATGGCTACGTGCGCGCCAGCTCGTGCCCGTGCTCCACCATGGCCCGCACGAACTGCTGGAAGACGCGGTCCATGTATGTGCACTGCCGGGGCCAGATCCCCTCCAGGAAGCCGATGTGGCCTCCGTGAGAGGTGAGGACCAAGGCCACGTTCGGGTTCTGCTTCGCAGTCTCTATGGGGATTGCTGGAGAAAGCGGGCCGGGGAGGAGAGAGGGCAGAATCATTAGCTTTTATCATTTCCTTTTAAAAATTGTTTTCTTTTGAGATAGGGTCTCCCTGTGTAGTTCAGGATGGCCTCAAACTCACTGTGTAGCCCAGGCTGGTTTTAAACTTGGGAGCCTCCTGCTTCAGCCTCCCAGTGCCGGGATCATGGGTGAGCACCCCTGTGCCCACCTCTACTTTCATCATTTCTAATCAACATAAACCAAAACCCATTAAATGAATATTTGTAGTGAGTATGGCTAAATGGAATGATTCCAATTTATAAAACTGTCTATATTCTTATAATAGGTCATGTTTGCAGTGTATACTAGATCATCGTTTTTGAAAGAATCAGTATAAGATTTAATTGCAGTACAAAAGTATAGGCTGAATCTTGTCAGAACTAGAAATGTGCCAGGCCTGGTGGAGCACACTTCTATAATTCTACAGCTTGGGAGGCTGAGGCAGGAGGGTTGCTGAGAATTCAACACCAGTCTTGGCTACATAGTGAGTTTAAGGCCAGCTTGAGTTGTATAGGGAAACCCTGTCTCAACCCCCCATCAACCAAAGAGAATGTTAGTGAAAGGGTTTTGGCCCAGGCCGGACGGACACTGTAGCCGGTAAAGCCAAGGAGCTCCCATCTCCCCCACCCTTAGGAATCTACCTCTGGTGCCAAACAAAGACCAATAGGCTACCTGTGCATCCCTAATGCCCCCTTAGGTTCCACCCCAAGCCCAGGCTACTTATGTGCTTCACTCCGTGTTCCACGGAGAGATCACCGACCCCGGGTGGAGATGCCGTACCCCGGGGGTCGGGGGTGTCTCTCCCCGCATTCCCAAAGGTCATTTATATTTCATACTTTTCAGCCGCCGCAGCCGCCGGTCCCCCACAGTTCTATCAGTTAGCACCTTTATGAGAGTTATAAACTCATAAATGGTAAAAACATATTAAATAGAAAAGGAATAGAGGCTTCCCAAATCTTTACCTTTGGGGACTGAAATATCGAATCATGGAGGATTAGGCTTTTGGGTTTGTTGTTCTCTGCTGCTTTGCCGCCTCCTTTTCCTCCTTTTCTTTGGGGGGATACTGGGAATTGAAATGTTTTTGAGGCAGGGTCTCTATGCAGCCCAGGCTGCCCTTGAACTCGCAGCGATCCTTCTGCCTCAGGCGGACTACAGGCTCCAGCCACTACACCTGGCCTTGGTGATTTCTTTTGTTCTTTTGCTGAATTTCTATTTAGAGGCAAGGGACAGTCTGACCATGAGGTCTGCAGAGCCCACTGTGAGTGACCTAAGAAGTGCCTGGCTCACTGTCCCCGCCTGCTGAAGGCTGATTCCCCATGTTTGGGGCCCGCCCGGCCCCCAGCAGAGCCTGCCAACTGCAACAGCCCCGTCCCAGCCAGGGACAAACCCTAGCCACATCGCACCGTGAAAGGCGTGGGCTGCCTGTTCTCGCAGATGGAGGACAATGGCGCACTTTTTCCCATGGCCCAGACAGCGCCTGAGGCTTGGGAAAGAACAGGAAATAAAGGAGTCCAAGCTTTGCCCCAGGGTCGGGTGAAGACGGGGTGACCAGGGACACGGGAAAGTGCACAGCGACCCATGAGACCGGCTTGGACAGGGGTACACACTGTGCAATCCCAGTCACAAAGCCCTCTCTAAAATCGCCTCCGATTGAATGAGGTCCCCCTGAGAAATGAAGACCATTTTAAAAGGTGTCTCTGGGAGACAAAAATGTCCGGGAGACATTTTTGCAATATGGATGTGTTATGTCTGTAGCCAGAATAATTTATTTTCAGTGCTAGGGATGGGCCCCAGGGCCTAAGGTGTGCTTGGCCGCACTCCTGGCCCAAAGTGGTTTTGCTCTGTTTTGTTGTTGTTTGGTTGGTTTTGTTTTTTAAACAGTCTCGCTCTGTAGTTCAGTCTGGCTTTGAACTCTCGGTGACCCTCCTGCCTCAGCCTCCCGAGTGCTGGATTACAGGTGTGCGCCACCTGCCTGGCACAATTCTCCTTTTTACAGTTTTCCCTCGCGGATGATCATTTCGTCCCAGATTTACTTCCATTATTGAGATATTTAAAACCACTGTTGCTCAGATCCTCTCCCAGTTTGAAAGAGAAGAGAAACCAGATTTTCTTGTGGAGCCACCAAGAGCAACAATGGAGTTCTCAGAAGACGACACTGTAACATAATCTGCCTGAAACAGTGCATTTGTAAGAAGGGAAGGCTACAAAAATAAGAACAAGCGAGATACGGAGTCATAACGTTCTCAGTGTTTCACAATGAACTAGATAAGGGTCTCTGGAAACATTTGAAATGTTATCTGAGTCCGAGGATGGCGGCACACACCTGTGCTTCCAGCAGTTGGGAGGCTGAGGCAGGAGGGTCACTGTGAGTTCAAGGCCAGCCTGGGCTACATAGTGAGACCTTGTCTCAAAAAGAAAGGCATTATCTGAGACATTAGATATTAAATTATGAGTATCTTGTGTGTTTTTTTAATCACAATGGAAAACATACAACTGACATTTTTTATTTCTTTTTTATTTCCAGTACTGAAGGTTGAACTCAGGGCCTTTGTACTAAACTGTAACTCCAGCCCTCTTTTATTTTGACACAGGGTCCCACTCACTTGTTAGCTGTGCAGGCTGGGCTTGGGCTTACGGTTCTCATCCCTCAGCCCCCTAGAATGCTGGGGTTATGGATGTGGACCATGCACAGGGTTTTTTTATTTTATTTTATTTATTTATCTTTTTTTTGGCAGTACCGGGGATCGAACTAACGACCTTGAGCTTGCTAGGCAGGCGCTTATGCCGCTGAGCTAAATCCCCAGCCCTGTTTTATTTCTTATATACATATACGTGCACATATACATATGTTTTTTTTTCAACTTGTCATATTAATGAAATAATATGATGTTTATATGTGTGTCTTATTTCACTACTGAGTATGTTCTCAAGGTGTACCCATTTACCTATAAAGTGTTATTTTCTTTCTTAGTATTGCATTTTCTTTCTTTTTTTTTCTTTCTTTCTTTCTTTTTTCGTGTGTGTTGGGGATTAAACATAGGACTTTGTGCATGCTAGGCAAGAACTCTTAGCACTGAGCTGCAGCTCCAGATTTTTAAAGTTTTATTCTTTCAATCTTTTGAGACAGAGTCTCACTATGTAGCTCAGATTAGCCTTGAGCTCATTATGTGGCCCAGGCTGGCCTCCAACTCATGGTGACTCTCCTGCCTCAGCCTTCCAAGTATCCAGGTTACAGGTGTGAGCAACCAACATGGCTTATTTTTATTTTTTGTTTTTTGAGAAAGGGTTTCCCTCTGTAGTTCAGGCTGCCCTTTAACTTACTATGTAGCAAACTCAAACTGGTCTTAAACTCATGGAGCTCCTCCTGCCTCAGCCTCCCCAGTGCTAGGATCATGGAGGTATGCCATCACACAGAATTATTTTTATTTATTTTATTTTTTTGAACCAGGAATCGAACTCACAACCTCATGCTTGCCAGGCAGGCGCTTATGGCACTGAGCTAAACCTCCAGCCCTTATTTTTATTTTTTTGAAACAGGGTCTTGCTAACTTATCCATAATGGCCTTGAACATGTGATCCTCCTACCTCAGCTCTCTTGAGTAGCTGGTATTATAGCTGTGCACCACTGCACCCAATTCAACATTGCATTTTTATAAAAGGGAAAAAAATTATTTTAAAAGTTAATAAAAAAAAAAAGTTAATACAGCCAGGCATGATGGCACATACCTGTTATCCCAGCACATGGAAGGCTGAGGCAGGAGGATTATTGCTAGCTTTGAGACCAGCCTGAGCTACAAAGTGAGCCCAAGGCCAGCCTGAGCTGCATAGTTAGACCCTGTCTCAACAAGACAAAAATAAATAAATAAATAATCAATACAAGTTAATTTATGTGAAAATCTACACAAAGGCTAGGGATGTGGCTCCGTGATAGAGGGCTTACCGAGTACTCACAGGTTCTGGTTTCATCTCAGCACTGAAACAAAGACTTGCTGGCCACATAAACTTACCGTGACTGGGAGAGAAGACGTCATCCTCGGAGTTGAGGCACAGCACTGGAATCCCAACAGAGTCCAGCCTGCGGTTGGGGCTGGCGTCAGTGTAGTAATCATCGATGGTTGGGTAGCCAAACATGACGGAGGTGAAGCGCTTATCAAACTCCCTGATAGACTTAGCCTGAAAACCCAAAAGAAATTATATTTTTTCTTGGAATCAAAAGAGAAAATAAAAGCATCACATAAAATTTCTCTCCTACCTTCATGACATGGTCCATATCGATTTGCTTTACAAACATATGCCGGTGTCTGGAACAGAGAATTTCAAAACTAAAAATTAAGGTCATTCCTATGTCAATTGCACCTAAAACACACAATAAATAACCTAGCACAGGCCGAAAAGCTGGTGCTCAGAAAAAAGTTGCTTAGACATAGAAGAAAGAAAGCGATGTTTGTCTTGAAAGGATTACTTTCTTGTTTGTTTTTTGGAGACAGGGTTTTGCTATGTAGCTCAGGCTGGTCCTGAACTCATCGTGTGTCCAGGTTGGCCTCAAACTTGTGGCAATCCTCCTGCCTCAGCCTCCCGAGTGCTGGGATGACCGTACAGGGATGTGCTATCACACCTGGAAAATCCAATGCTTAATGTCAGCTTTCCAGAGAAACATGGCTGTCAATAAATCATATAAAAATTAATTACATCTGTTTTTCTTCTTTAGGAACTGGGGGTGGAAACCAGGACCTCCCACATGCTGGACAAGCACTCTAGGCCTGAGCTGCACTCCCAGCCCTTCTTTCTTACTTATTTTATTTACTTATTTTGAGACAGCTTCTCGCTAAATTCCTAGAGTGGCCCTGAACTTGCCATCCTCCTGCTTTAGCCTCAGGAGGCTGGAAGTGTATCTCAATGATAGAGCGTGAGACTAGCATGGGTGAGGCCCGAGTTCAATCCGTAGCACCAAAAACAAAGAAAACACAGCAACATGCATAGAAAGGTAAACAGGAAGAGCTCTGTGCCACTACGCCAGTGATTCCAGAAAAACTAACGAAGCCGATAGTTCAGTTAGGCAAGGACTGACAGCTATACCAGGGAGCCGTTCCCTCCCCTGTGTTTTTTTTTTTTTTTCTTTTTCCTTTTTATCAGTACCAGGGATCGAACTCACGACTACCTGCTTGCAAAGCAGGCGCTTATGCCGCTGAGCTAAATCCCCAGCCCCTATGTGTTATTTTTGAGGCAGAATTTCACTCTGTAGTTCAGACTGGCCTTGATCTCACTGTGTAGCCCAGGCTGGCCTTGAACCCAAGGTGATCCTCCTGCCTCAGCCTCCCAAATGCTGGGCTCATAGATGTGCACCACCATGCCAGGCTGTTTCCTTGCTTCTGAAGAACACGTGGCTTGCGAGCTTAGGAGCCCATTATTCAGTACTGACTTCATTTAATAATTTTCCTCCGGAGCAAGAATTCAGTCCTGACAGTCGAACAAGCGGGAAATCTAGACAAACATTACCCAATGCATTCCACACCAACCTTTCAGCTTTCTAGATTAATTTAGGATGGTTATTTAGTGATCTTTAAAGTGAGAACACACAATCCAGGAGTTACATAAGACTGAAGAAAACATAACCTTTACCTATAGTTTTAGCTTATGCTTCCAATGTTTAAATTTTTGAATGCATTTACCATATAGAGAATATGTGCTGCAGCAGTAAATGCATCCAGCATGTAAACAAATCCAGACACAGCAGTGCTGCAATTTTAAACGTTCCCGGTTGGGGCTGGTGACCAGGAGTCTGCGATGACTTACTTATTAACCGAGGACTGCAGGCAGGTCGTCAAGTAGTAATTAAAGAGCAGCCAGTTCAGCGGTTTCTCCAGGGACTCCGAGCAGGCGAACGTGTTCCAGCCCACTGAAAACGTGGCAGCTGCCATCAGTGGGGTTTTGGGCCCAATTTTGCCCAGGTAATTGAGAAGCAGCATTCTGAAAGGAGAAGCATGGAACTTGGGGATTCATTTGTTGCATCTCTCAAGACATGTCGTTTTCTTTATTTCATTTACTTATTTTTTATTTGAGACACAACGTTGTTATGTTAGTCAGGCTGGCCTTAAACTCAGAGATTCTTCTGCTTCAGCCTACTGAGTGCTGGCATTACAGGCAAGTGCCACCACGCCTGGTTTGGTGGGGTGACAGGGATGGAGTTTTAAGAGATGGTGGACATTTTGATTTTGAAGTGACTCTGGCAGTGCGGCACTGCTGCATCTCACACACTGCCACGTCTCACTTCGAGGTTTCCTGCAAAGGGCTCCTCCGGGTCCTGTGTGCTGAGGTCGGCCCTCACTGGGATGCTGGTACCAGGCCCAAATCCCAGGGCGGGAAGGGAAACAGAGAGCTTAGAGGAGCTATGGTGAGGTGGGGCTAATTCTCAATTAGACTCAGGAACAAAGTGACACCCAGATATTCCTCCCCAACAAAATTTTTCACCTCCATGGAAAAGGGACCCCATTTTCTCACTAGAAAACTTCAAAACAAATGACAAAACACCAAAGAGGGGAACCAAAGAAAAAAATCTAAGAGACTTAAAAAGCCAACCAGTCTCAAATCTTGTCTGTATTTTTAAAAAGCTATAGAATCATATAAACAGCCAACTGAGGACCGTGAAGAATGATTTAATATTTAATGATAATTAGAAATTACTATGCCTATGATTCCAGCTCTCAGGAGGCTGAGACAGGAAGATTGCCTATGTAATCCAGGCTTATATAGTGAGGTCAAGGTCAGCCTGAGTTACATAGCAACACCCTGTCTCAAAAAACCAAAAAAAAAAAAAGTCAGACATGGTGGCACACACCTGTAACCCCAGCACTCCAGAGGCTGAGGCAGGAGGACTGCCATGAGTTTGAGGCCAGCATGCCTACCCTGAGCTACACAGCCTGTCTCAGAAGAGAGAGAGAGAGAGAGAGAGAGAGAGAGAGAGACAGAGACAGACAGAGACAAGAGACACAGAGAGACAGAGAGACATTATTGTTAACTGGGCTCAGATGTGGTAAGGGCCTTGTGATCTTCCCTGTTTTGCTGAGAAAGACTTATCTGTTTGAGACACCAAATGAAATATTCACATTTACTGGTCGTTTGGACCGAGTCATCCAGAAGTCCTGCCAGCCCTCCTGTCACCTCTCAGCTCAGGGATACAGCTCACGTCAAGCTGCAGGTGGCAGAGGCAGCAGCAGACATGAGCCTGATAAGGACAGACACTGTGCCTGCCCTTACCATGAGGCCAGAAGCACCCTCTAAAATACTGTTCTCTCCTGGTGCTGGGGATGGACCCAGGGTCTCCTGCCTGCTAAGCCTGGGCTGGGCTACATTCCCAGCCTCCACTGAAAGCTGAACAACTAACATTGGAGATTTGGTTCGTAATAACTGGAGTTGGCACAGATGAAACAAGGTTACCGCTGTGTGTTCTGGGGTACCCTTTTCACTCACTCATTCAGACTGGGGCTAGGGATGTAGTCCAGACTGGCCTGGAATGTTCAGGGATCTGTCTTCTGGACCCAGCCTCTCAAGTGCTGGGCTCACAGCAATGCAGACTGCATGTGCGGCCCATATTATTAATTATTATTATTATTATTATTGCCTTTTTGAGACAGGGTCTTACTATGCAGTTCAGGCTGGCCTTGAGCTCACTTTGTGGACCAGGATGGTATCAAACTCAGCCTCCCTAGTGTTAGAATTACAGGCCTGCGCCACCACACCAGCTTCCACCCATATTCTTATACACATGTGGTGTTTTCTCTGCATTTAAACTTTTTTTTAAAATACCAGCTCATTGGGGAACGATCACGAGGGTCTACAGTAGTGTGAGCTTGGTGATTGCCTCATCCGTCTTCCCGCCTGTGTCTGGCAGCGGGCAGTGTGGCTCAGGGACTCCCTCCCCTGTCCTGGGCTACTGCAGTCTTCCCAGGGGCCCTAAGCTGGCATCCGGAGAGGGAACGCTTTCCCCGTCACCGGCAGCGTGGCAGCCGGGCTCAGGACACCCAGCTTGGGTGAGCTCAGCCTAGAGTCAAGGGTCTGCACGATGTGAGGAAGCAGTCAGCTCCCCAGTCCTGCAGGTTTCCCCCTGCAGGGGCGCAGAGGGAGAAGCAGGCCCGTGCTGCGCGGGTCGGCGGGCAGCCACTCCGTTACTAGGTCAGACCCGGCCGCCCATGCTAATGCGGGCCCGCAGTGGCGGCTCTCAGCTTAGCTGGTCCTAGAAAGCCCTGGCGAAAGCCGATTTGTTAGGGCGTGCTGTTCATAAAAGCTGCCCCGTAGACCTACCCCTGAGATTTTTTTGTAACTGAAGACAGACAAATCGATTATAAAACTAAGGAAAAAAAATGCAGTTTTCTATCTGGAGGATTTGTTGATCTAATAAGGTTCTCTGGGGACTGGAGCAGCCCAGCCAAGGCCCTGAGCTCAAACCCAGCAAAACTCCAGGGAGGCGGGAGGAAGGAAGCCTGGCGCAAGGCATCTGAAGCACAGTAACCTGCTCCATAATAAACATTCCGGATTTCCTCCCTGTCACTAGAACAAAAAGTACAAACAATTATTTGCAGAAATCAGCCCACATATAAACACAGCAAGTGGAAATTCCCAGTGAGGCCGTGGCAAATATGTAAAAACCATCATCTGCTGACAGCAGCAGCTGCTGCAGGAATGAGCAAGAAAATCTGTCTCTATGCGAGCACTCCACGGCAGATCCATCTGCCGAACATCCCTGCACCACGCCACACAGGCACCCGGGGTGCAGGACCCGGAAGGCCACTCTGGCAGATGGTCTGCTTCTGGGCTGTGTGACAAATCTCACGCTCCAAGTTCTGCTTCCTGAGCATCAAAGAAGACACGGCCGCAGCCAGGCACACATGGCGGATGACGTCAGGGACGCAGAGGGTCAAAGGGTAGCAAGGCGGGGCAAGTCTGGGCAGCTTTTCTGCTCACAGAACACTGGCGTTCGGAAAAAAACACACCTTTTCCCCGGGGAGACAGCAGTCAAGGAAAATATTAAACTCACCTGAACTCATCCCTTCATTCCTTCAACCATATGTGATAGGATATGATAAAAAAAACATTTATTTGAAAATGTCTAACTTCCTTAGAGTCCTCTGAAACAGCCAAAAAGACCATGTCCCTATCTGATGGTTGACTGATTTTGAGACAAGGTCACACTCTGTATAATGCAGGCTGGCCTTGAACTCACAGTGTAGCCCTGGCTGGCTTCAAACTCACAGCGACCTGCCTGCCTCAGCCTCCCTGGGTGCTGGGATTACAGATGCGTGTAACCAAACCCAGCTTGTCAGGTGTTTCAGAAAGGGAAAACCTTACCCTCCCATTGAGACCCCTGCGGCCAGAAAGGGAGCAGAGGGGTACAGGCTGTGCACGTGGTGAATCACGGTCTCCAGGTCTTCCGTGTTGGCGCAGCAGTATGTCCTCGGTGTCTGCGAGTGAGGCCAGGACAGCGCAAAGGGGAAAGTGCGAGGTTAGGATGCGCAGCATGCGGAAACGTAAAAGAAGAAGTGAGACATTGTCAATACAAGATAACTGTGGCTGCCACTCGCGTTGGTGCTGCTGCAAAGGCCCTGCACGTACGGGGCAGGCGACCCGGCTGGGGGAGCGCAGTGCAGACACCTTTACACAGACCGCAGTGCCCTTGAGCTCTTCTCCACCTTCCAGTGCCAGTCCGGCTTAGGAGGAGAAGGTAGAGGTGCTGTTTGTCTGAGACAGGGTCTCGAGCTGTATTCCAGGCTGGCCTACAACTCACTAATGTAACCTGCTTGCCTTAGGGCTCAAGGAAAACCTCCGGCCTCCGTTTCCTGAGTGCTCAGGTTGCATGCGGCACCACTGCGCCCAGCAAAAGTTCCAATTTTCAATGATCCACCCAGCTGCTTATTGAATCCTGTCTTTTTTTTTGTTTGAGATGTGCAAATATAGAATGTTTGAAAGACAAATACTAACCTCAGGGCATTTACAATAGCTAACATTTGTTGAATAATTATATATGTGTCCACAAAAGCCTGAGGAAGACCCTATTATCTTCTGCTTTATACATGAGGAAAACATTCATGCATTCATTTACTTTTTCCACATCCATCTATTTTTTAAATATTTATTTTGAGACAGACAGGGTCTTATTATGTACTGCAAGCTGGCTTTGAGTTCACTATGTAACCCAGCCAGGCCTGGAACTCACAGCAATCCTCCTGCCTCAGCCTGGGATCAGAGGCATGTGCCACCCCACCCCGCTTTCATCTATTTAATTTTTCAGTGTTGGGGTTCAAACCCAGTATGTTGTACAAATGTTTTATCTCTGAGCCACATCCCCCGGCAGGAAACTGAATAGAAAGAGGTTAAAGATAAGTGACTAAACTGACCTATGCTAAAAAACAAACACACATGCCTTGAATCTCAGCACATGGGAGGCTGAGGCAGGAGGAGTGCAAATTCAAGGCCAACCTGCACTGCACACTGGGGTGATTGAGAATATGCTGAATGTTTAAATTTAGAAGGATATAATAAATGGATTCAAAGTGCAAAGGAAATATTTCAAAGGGGATTAATGGTGAGGTGTCTCATAAATAAATTTTTAAATTTAAACATTTACCATACTTTCTTATCACTCTTCATTGATCAAACGTCTAAGGCAATTTCTGTCAGGTAGAAACATGATGCTGTGTCCCCAGCCACCTTACTCGAGGGATCGGGTGGGCACCGTGCAACTTCCGACTAGTCCCCAAAGTGAAAGTTACCGGGGTGGGGGTGGGGGAGCATTTTGAATCTGTTCAAGACATGGAGGTGGCCACCACAGTGCAGGTACCAGCCCGAAGCGGCCTTCCGAACTGCTTCCAAAGTGGGTGGACGATGTGTTTGAAGCAGACGGAAGCATTTTGAAGGGGGTTAATGGTGCTGTCTTTTACTATCATAAATTCAAAAGCACTTTAAATCATTCACTGTATTCTTTGATCACTTGGCGGATTGAGAACGTGACTCAAAGGTGAAAAATAAAAACCCACAACCTAAAAACTAAAACAAAAACACTCCAACCCAAACAGCAGCAAAAACTGAAGGAATGTGCTTCAAAGGCACAAATTCAATGTCAAATCTAAGGAGAACAATCCGTGTCCATCTGTGGTGACTGCAAAATTGTCGTGCGACTTTAAGGAAAGAAATCATTTCTGGCTTTTGTATTACATGTGAGTCCATTCATCCTACATAGCTTTAAAACTGCTGGATGAGGGGCTGGGGATTTAGCTCAGCGGCATAAGCACCTGCCTTGCAAACAGGCGGTCGTAAGTTCGATCCCTGGTACCGATAAAAAAAAAAAAAAAAAAAACTGCTGGATGTTAGAAAGTACCTTAAAAAGTAAGATAAAATTTCTGCATTATTTAAGGACAGTTCCTGCAGGTCCTGGTGTTACACAGGTCATAAGCAAGTATGTGTCTATACACATGCACAGTATGTATGCAGGGATGTGCACACTTATACATGGCGTGCACCCATACACACAAAAACAGACATGCACGAGCTTAAAGGGTGTGAAGAAAGAGGTCTACGGAGGATGGTTCGGATCACAGCAAGCGGGGCCAGGGGTTTAGCTCAGTGGCATAAGCATCTGCCTGGCAAGCACAGGTCCTGAGTTTGATCCCCGGTACAAAAAACAGAACTAAAACAACAACAAAAATGGATCATAACAAGCACCATAGATATTACCTGGCCTCCCTATTTCCTAATAAGGAGCCACAAACCCAGACCCAGCAAGGTTCAGTGATTCGCAAAGGTTACAAAAGAGCAGAGCCTAGACTGTGTTTGTGAGGATAAACCAGTTCTTCCAAAGCAGGGCACTTTGCTGAGACACACAGTGAAGGGGGATCGATATCTTGGGTTAGGGCTGATCTTTAATCGCTTTCCTGGAAAACCTCAGCAAACACGGAGATGCAAATGGATGGACTGACGGACGAGGCCGCCAACTGGAGCGAGGTCCGCGGGTACTGCCCACTCGGCCTGCGAGATCTGCTGCAGGAATCTCTGTGCATCACAGAGCCTTAGGACCCGGGTGTGCCCACGACAAGGACAGTGAGAGCCGCCTCGCAGATAGTGTCCCCACAGTGGCTGAGCTCTCACTGCTGCCTCCGTGTCCCTCCCAACCCCTGCCACTCTTCCCACACCCCAGGGTAGCTGTTTGCAGGCCTGTATCTGCCTGCTCTGCTAGGTACTCCGTTCTCATTTACTGGTTTTTGGAGATAGACTCTCGCTATGCGGTCAGCCAGGTCTTGAGCTTACTCTGTAGCCCAGGCTGGCCTTGAATTTGAGGTGATCTTCTTTCCTCAGCCTCCTGGATGCTGGGATCATAGGTGTGCAACACCATACCCAGCTGTGGAGTTAATTTTTTAAAAAAGTATTAAAGAGTAACAAAGCATAATCAATTCCTAATTATTCATATTTCATAGAAAATATAAAGGTATGCATTTTGCATTTATCTATGGGCTGCATCTTAATTTTTCTTCCTAACCAACTAAGGGCTTCTAAAAATAGACACATTGATTTCTCCCTAACCTGAAAAGAGAATTCTCTTGTACCGGATTTACTTATTTAGTCCCACTTTTATTCCACGCCTTAACTGTAAACCCCTTTGCAATTAAGTTTCTGGGACTGTACAATGGGGGTGAAGCTCCTGGGCCTACTGCTGAGAATTAGATCACTGGCCTTGCAGGTAATCAGCACAGGCCTAGCAACTTGGGGGGCAGGCACTCAGAAAAGGCCTCTCAGTCTCTGCCAGCACTTCCAGGACGCACCAGCACTGTCCAGGGAAGCAGGAACCAGGCTGTGTAGCTCAGGCTGTCTGAACTCACTTTATTTACTTATATATTTATATCTTTTGGAGACAGGGTCTTGCTCTGTGATTTGGGCCCGTCTTATTAGTCTTAAAGCCATTAGGTAGCTCAGGCTGGCTGCAAACTCATGGCAATCCTCTTGCCTCAGCCTCTTGGAGTCTTGGGATTACAGATGTGTACCATGGCTGGCTCTTAAATTATTTAAACATGCATTTCTTTCCTTTTGACAAAAAATTAACCATAGAGAACTGTACAGTGGGGATGCTCTTATCAGTGGCCTGTACCTCTCCTGGCTAGCAGGAAATTCTCAAGATTCAGTGTATCTCTACCCACAACCAATGGAGCTGCCCTCCCAGGTCCCTCTCACCCCTGGGGACGCAAGGTGTAAGGGTCAGAGGGGCAGGGGGCCAGCGAGGCCCTGAAGAGGGGACTCCAGCTCAGCAGCTCGGCCTCCTCGCAGCTCCCTCTCCCCCACGCAAAGCCACTCTGGGTAGGCAGAAAGAGCTCTGCGTGCCTCCTGCCCCGCAGCTGCTCCAGGAAAAACTAAAGTGGAAAAGCTGGTAGAAATAGAGGCAGATTTCCCAGCACTGCATTCTTAACTCAAAGAATGTGAAGCCAAGAGAGAAGTCGGTCTCTGGAAGCATCTCTGATCCCTCACCAGGTTTTCACTGAAGGTCAGGGGTTTGTTGTTATTTTGTTTCATTTTATTTTGCTGTCTTTTGTTTTGTTTTTGAGACAGGGTCTGTCTGTGTAGTGGAGGCTGGCCTCAAATTCAGGTGGAGCCTCCTGCCTCAGCCTCCTGAGGAGTGCTAGAACCACAGCCTGTGCCACCAACACCGAGCCACAGCAGGGATTCTGTGGGGGAACCTGGACTCGGGTCCCTGGGAACCAGAAGAAAAGGTTCCATTTCCTCCCTGGAAACCCTGGAGAACAGGGGCCTCCTCCTGCAGAGGCAGGGGCAGGGTATGTGTCTGTCTGTTTCCCGCACCTCAGTGTCAGGTACCAGCTTCTCGCTGGCTTCTGAGGGACAAGGCCCTTTGTCCTTCCCTCTGCCCTGCAGATGACTAACAGGAAACAAGGACAAGAACAACACTGCTGGCCAGCGGCTGTGGACTCGTGCTCCTGCCCCTGCTCACCCTGAATCCCACTGCATGGCTTGCCACTTCTTCTGGGTTAATTTCACTCAGAGACAGTTCCTTTCTGTTTGATCGTTTGCTGATTTGGATTTGTTCTTTTTATATGCTACCCTAATGTCTTTCTTCCTCTGGGTCTGAGCTGTGTTATATACCTTTTCTGGAACAGGCAGAGGTATAAACCAGCACCAGACCCTTCCAGTCTGAGGTGCTGATTGAGGCGCGGCTGGAAGGGTCACCAAAAAGCAGTCACCAAGCAAGCAGCCTGTGTTGGTTCTGATCATCAATACTAACATTGTGCTGTTGTGACCTAACTTAAGGAAGATGTAAGAATCCCGAGTGACCACAATGCAATTATGATATCCTTTTATAGCAACTTAAAAAAAGAACTCTAGGAGAGAAAATTAATTATAATTAAACATACTTCCTTTACCGTAATGACTGAGTTAATACCATAGAAAGTATGCCTCACTGCCTGAGCTGTACCCTCAGCTCCAGCCCCTTTTATATTTTATTTTAGTCTTGCTTATATGTGTGTGTGTGTGTGTGTGTGTGTGTGTCTTTCGAAGTTGCCCAAGGTGGTCCCAGACTTGTGATCCTCCTGTTTCAGCCTCCTGTGTAGGTGGAATTACAGGTGTATACCACCACCGTGCCTGGCCCAGTGAATTCTTTAAAATTAAAAAAGCAAAAACATTTACGTATATACCATCACTTTGTAAGAACGCAAAGTATTCTCGGCAGTTTTTCCAAATTCCAATTGAAATTCATGGTCAGAAATTACTAGGTTGCTGCAATGTTTCCAAGTAAATTTTGATAGACTTGACACTCAGGATGGGAAGTTTGTAAAGCCTCCTCCTCCTCCTCTTCCTCTCTCCTCCATCCTGTTGGTCCTTGTTGAAGATTCTGTCCCTACTTCTCCCCTTCCCTCTTCCCTCTCCCCACACCATACTGTCCCGCTCAGGACAGCCCACTTTCTCGCTGGAGCCCCCACAGCTGCTGGCAATCAGACTGGGAAACTCCCACCCAGGCGAGGAGGAGCACCCTGGGGACCTGCCTGGGTTTCATTCTCCCTCCAGTAGCTGACAGGAAGGCAGTGCTGCTGGGTGTGAAAGCCTCCCCGGGAGGTCACCTGCCTATGAGAGCTGGAGGCGGGGCCCTGCCGAGGTCATTCACAGTGGCTGAGGTCAGGAGGGCACCGGTGGCTTCCCAGAGACAGATGCCACCCCCTGGGTCTCACCTGGTAATGCCCTCTGCTGCACTCAGGAGGGAGAGTAGGGCCTCACCAGATGCCAAGTGCACGTTGGCACTAAACTCTCAGGCTGTAGCCTGCAGCACTTTGAGCCAAACAGTGCTGCTCCCGCTGCATGACCTCATGTCAGCTGTTCAGGAGAATTCGAGACAGCCGGAAACAGCCCATACAACCAATTCACCTCTCTTCTGCAGTACCAGGGACTGGGCCCAAGTCTTCACCTGGACTGACCCTTTCTTATGTTTATTTGGAGATGGCATCTTGCTGAGCCACCCAGGCCGAGCTCAAACTTGCAGTCTTCCTGCCTCAGCCTCCTAGAATGCCAGGATTAAGTGTGTGCCACCATGTCCCCCTCCCCACCCTGCAACCAAAGCTTGAACTCAGGGCCTTGCACCTGCTTAGCAAATCTCTCCCACTGGACTCAGACAGGCTCAGACAGGCTAAATTGCCTGGGCTGACCTTGAATGTGTGATCCTTCTGCCTCAGGCTCCTGAGGAGATGCCACCATGCCCAGCAGAATTTATTACATTCATGACACCAACTGTAAACTCTCCTAAGTGTTTGATTTCCACAAGTATCAGCCCCCCAACACCCAGCCAAGCTAGAAATGCCACCCTTGACTCTTCTCTCTGCTCTTCCCACAATGCCATTAACAGTCTTTCTGCCCCCATATCACTCACGTTTGTCCTCTGTTCTCCCTCCCTCTCACACCTGCTTTAAACTCCAGACCCGGGCAGGCTCCGTCCCAGCCACAGCCCCTCTCTGTCCCACACATCTCTGCCACTGTTCTAAAACAGGACCATGATGAATTACATTCTCCCTGCCAAGTGAGAGTGGCTCCACACTGGGTTCCTCATGATTCCCCACAGTTCTTCAAAATCTGGCCACAGCCTCTAAGGACCCCTGCCCCTCCAGAACAGCAAGAGGGAATTCAGCAGAGCGGTTAAGGACACCAGCGGCAGGCTGGTTGTGACTTTGTTGGTTTTTGTCTGAGACAGCTCTTTAACCTACCTCCCTGTGCCTCAATTTCTTTGTCAGGAAAATGGGAACAACAGTGGCTGTTTGAACCTAAATCACTGGGTGCTTCTATTGCTAAATATTAAGAAGAAAAAGATATAACTGATACATTCAAAGCACTCGGTAAATGTTAGGTAAGGTCCCATTGGCACCTTGTTCTCTACTCTGAGCCTGTCACCTTTCCAGAAGGCTCAACAGCACAGTCTTCAAGATGTCATATAAAGTGTCACTCTTCCCCCAGGCAGCCAGCTACTCCTCCCCATTGTGCGGTGGCTTAATAAATCTTCCTACAGTTATCCTTGGAAGAGAACTGCATACAGTTGTTTTTAATTGAGACATAATTCACTATGTAATTTAGACTGGCCTTGAACTCACTTTGTAGCCCAGGCTGGCCTCAAACTCACAGTGATCCTCCTGCCTCAGCCTTCTGAGTGCTGGGATTATAGGCATGTGCCACTATGTTCAGTTACCCTGTTACTTTTTAAAATTATTATTATTTTTTGGACACAAGGTCTTTCTAGGTACTTCATGCTGGCCTGGACTCACTATGTAGTATAGGCTGTGACCATCCTCCTGCCTCGGCCTCCAGAGTGCTGGCATTACAGGCATGTGCCACCATACTAGGCTTTAAAACTGATTTTTGTGTGTGCCTGTGCACATGTGTGTTAGTGAAAGTGATGTGAGATATTTTCTTGTATGATATATTCCACTCATTGTGCAGTTAGAGCCTTACTTGTTGAATTTAATGGAAAGTTTACGGGACTCCCCATGACATGGTATATACTTGCTCTTGGTTCATATACTTCAAGAAAGTTGATGATGCTCACATAAATTTGAAAATACTCTAGGCTCACTCATTGGCTTGAGAATAATCAAGAATAATTGTTATCTGTCTATCAATATTCATGTGTGTGTGTGTGTGGTCCTGGGGATTTAAAATGGGGCTCTGTACTAAGCCATGTCCCCAGCCCATTTTTATTTTTCATTCATTCCTTGAACGAAAGAGGCTCACTATGTGGCCCAGGCTGGACTTGATGTTACTGTAGTCTTCCACCACCATGCCTAGCTTGAATTGTACACAGTTTCTACACCCAACTCCTGAAGCTGAACTCTGACCTGGGGGTGAGGGTGGGTATGATCCTTACCTGTTGCCCTGCACAGTGCCTGGTTTAGACAGCACTCAGTACAGCTCTGCTGAACAAAAAGACCTTTGTCCCCAACTCACAGGACCTAACAGACTTTTTTGCTGTGTGTTATTTTTTCAAGCACCTCAGACCATGTCTTTCCCATCTTAGTGTCAAGGAAGCAAACACAAATATGCACAGCAGACAGGACAAATATACACATATGTACACAAGTATACACAGCTCCAAAAAATCTGCTTGGGTCAGGGTTACAGTGATAAATTCGAATCTTTCCATGTGTTTGTCTGTGCATTTGGTTTTTGAGACAGGCTGTCATTGTGTAATTTAAGCTAGTGTTGAACTCACTGTGTAGCTCAGGATGGCCTCAAACTTGCAGTGATCCTCCTGCCTCAGCCTCCTAACTCCTGAGATTATATAGGCCACCATGCCTGGCCTTTAAATCCTTTCTTTTAGAGCACTGTCTGTAAGACTCTAAAAGGGAACGACTAAATGAGAACATGTGAACTTTCCCATCAAACTATTCATTGTAAGGCACTTGAGGAAGACTGTAAGCCCTTTATAATTTCTGCTTGCAAAATCGTATCTATCTTGATTTCTGCCAGCTCCCAAGGCATTGTAAAGCAAAGTACAATAGGTCTTTTCTTCCCAGATTCTTACAAAGAGCTAATACTTGTGACATAACTTTTTATTGCACGTGACTTTTTTGGTGCCAAGAATTGAACTCAGGACCTCACACTTGCCAGGCAGTGCTGTGCCACTGAGCTATATCCCCAACCCCACTTAAATATTCTATGTCCTATTTATTTATTTATTCATTTATTGAGACAGGATCTCGCTATGTGGTGCAGGCTGGCCCTGAACTCACTGTGTAGCCCAGGCTGGCCTCCAAATCTGGCCATCTTCTTGACTTAGCCTACCAAGTGATGGGAGGTGCCACCTCAGCTGGCTAATTATTGATAGTTTTAATGTCATTCTTTATCAGTGATTCAAAGCTCCTTTCAATTCTAGTAGAATTACCTTTGACCTGTACACACGGCAAGAGCTAAAAGTCAAAAAGCTGTGAGAACATTTCAGCAGGTATACCATTTTTCATTCTAACTCACAGGTTCATTTTATATATATTTTTTGTTTTGGTGTATTTTGTTTTGGTGTGTGGGTTTGTTTGTTTTTTCAAACAGGGTTTCAATATGTAGTTCAGGCTGGTCCTGAAGTCAATATGTAGCCCAGGCTGGTCCTGAATTTGTAAATAACCCTCCTGCCTCAGCCTCCTGAGTGCTGGTATGACAGGTGTGTACCACCCTGCCTGATTGTACTGGTTCTTTTTTTTTTTTTTTTTGTCTTTTGAGATGGTTCAGGCTGGCCTTGAGCTTACTTTGTAGCCCAGGCTGGTCTCAAACTCGCAATAATCCTCCTGCCTCAGCCTCTCAAATGTTGGGATTACAGGAGTGCTTCATCACACTCAGCTACTGGTTCATTTTTTTAAAAGTGTTTTGAATTAAAAGCAATGTAGATGAGCTAGGCATGGTGCTACATACCTATAATCTCAGCACCTGGAGGCTGCAAGCACAGGACAGCAGAGAAACCAAGACGAGGAATTCTGCAAGTCCTGGGAAATATGAAGATGCCCCCAAATTCAGAAAATTCAGACACTTCATGGACTCTGCCCACTCAGATGCAAGACTGCCAGAGACATCTGACCACAGACGCTCTTGGGAGATCCCCAGCATCCCCTGCCTTCCTTCTCTCTAGCCCTGTAACAGGCACACACTTCTCTTTGCTCGGTCTTATGCACTCCCAGGCACAGTAAATCCTGGGCCATGTCGCCTTAAACAAGCCTGGTGGTCTCAGCTGCGTCTCCCTCCACTCTGTGTGTTACAATTAAGAGTCTTTTAAATTTCCTTTTTTTTTTTTTTGGTTTCATCTCTTTACTTTTCCACTGTGAACTTGCATGGCTTGCATAAACAATGAAATAATTATTTTAAATAAAAACATACTTTTCATCATAAGGCTGGAAGTGGTTATTTTAAAAATTACAACTTTTGTCATTTAAAGGTACTTACCAAGAGATTCTCTCCTGCTACTCCTCTGTTGTTAAAAACCACACATCTAAAAAACAAACAAACCACACACACATGTAAAAATTAAAAAAAATAATGTTATTTCTACACCTGCCCCTTGTCTATGATGCACTACAAAAAGACTTTCTGGACACTGATTTATAGCATGAGATTTCTGTGATTTACAGACCTGATAATAGCCTGCAATTCCATCTACATGCACTAAAAATTCCAGTTGCTTAAGCTCAACATGGGGGTTCAAATCAGAAAACCATGCACTGAAGCGAGGGAATTCTTCCTAATGAAACCCCAGAAATGCTGGGGCTTCTCTCCATGCATAGGCAGGAGCCTCTGGGAAGCATCGCGCACAGCTGGGAGGCAGGAGTGACCGCAGTGTGTCTGCTCCACCGCGACCCGGTCACAGAATTACGCTCAGGAATTGCTCCGCTTCCCAAAGCTCAGCACACCCGGGGACCAGAGGTTCACCCCGGCTGGGGGTGGGGAGCAGGCACCAAGCGGGAGGAGGGGAGCTTCTCCAGTTCCTGTGACCTGAGATAACCAGAGGTCACGGGTGCTTTCTTCCTCCTCGTTTGCATGTCGGGGCAGATGTGTGATCTCAAGGCTTTGATCAGTGAGAGGCTGTGGCCTCCAAGTGGGTCACTTTGCTCGCCAAGTTAACTCAGGCCACCGTTAGCCTGAGTATTCTGGCGTTCTCGGACACAATCCTGCCTCGGGTCTACAGAGGCTCTCGCTGATTTCCTGAGCCTGTGTGGGTGTCAGTCAGCGTTTAGTTTGCCCTCCTTTGTTTGTTTATGGGGTCAGTCAGGATTTCAGGTTCCGATTCTCGCTGCATAGGGGGCTGCTGACCATGGTGAGGCTCAGCGCACCAATGAGCTCACCGCCCTACAGAAAGGGCGCCCAGACCTCGACCTCAACCTCTCTCGGGGTCAGGTTCCAAGGCCTGATGTTCCCCACAGTGTGTACTCAGGCTGTGTTTTTGCAAAAAAAAAAAAATTTTTCCCGAGGCAAAGTCTCAATATGTAGCCCTCAGTGGCCTCGAACTCAGATCCTTCTACCTCAGCCTCCCAAGTGTTGGAAGTCCAGGCTGCTAGGATTCCTGGCCCTATAGAGAATCTTTATTATCTAGCTAAAAGGAATATTTCAGAATCTCAAAATATGGTTTTCATAAAAATCTAAAGTACAACACTTTACAGAGTTCTTAAGAGGCATTTTCACGCTGAAACTACACGCATGGTACTGAGGACTGAACTAGGCAAGCCCCTCACTGCTGAGCTACCTTCAGCCTTTTCAAAACATGCGACAGAGTCTGGCCAAATTGCTCATGTGGGCTCAAAACTGCAATCCTCCTGCCTCAGCCTCTAGAGAGGAGCTGAAACTATAGGCACATGCCACCCACCTTACGCATTACTTTATAAGTCACCTTATGAAGTTGCTCTTTGATTTTTTTTTTTTTTTTTTTTGCTAAAAAGAATGGCAAGACGGCCTAGATAGTGATCAAATTTAATGTGGCCACCTATATTGCCTTGCGTAAGTGCCCACGTCACACAGGAATTGGGGCTCCGGGGAGCTGTGGCAGTGAACCCCAAGCTCTTCCTCAGGAAAGCAGCACTTTTAGGGCGCAGTCAGGAAGGGTTAAAAAGGCTTCGGGAGCAAGAGGTCATTGTGTGACTTAGCAAAGAGAAGGCAACAGAGGCAGGGAGGGCAAAGGAAGAGGTGACTGGCTGAGCTCAGACCCTGGGATTCTCAGCAGGGGACCCAAGCCCCCCTCTTGAGGGGCCTTTCTGACAGTGTCCCATCCCCTGGGTCACCCTGGCGCCCTCCATGGCACATGCACAGAGGGGTTAGGAGGACCGAGGGACCGCAGCCCAGGGCTGGATGGTGGCTGCTCCCGACAGTCCCCACGACACACCCCTAAAGGCCTGTCCCGAAGCCCCTGGTGAGCCTCGGTCAATGCATGGAACAGCTGCTTCCAAACCATTGCACAGCCATCCAAGGGCCTCGAAGGGCACGGGCATGAGTACACTGGTCTGGAAAACTGATCCCCCCCTCCCCGCATATTTTAGCTATTTAAATTTTCTAATCAAAATAAAGTAGAAATAAAGAGAACACGTATCAAAGAGTAAACCTGATATGAAGAACTTTCTGGAACAACAGAAGTTGTTAGCCAGATACCATAGTTTGAGATGGTTTTGAGTGTGACCCCTGAGGGTCATGTGCTGAAATTTAATCCCTGTTGTGAGGCAGGAAGAGGCTTAGAAACTTCGTCCCTTTGCCTTATTTATCTATGTTTGGTTTTCTGATGCCAGGTTTCACTCTGTAGCCCAGGCTGCCCTAGAATTCATGGGGATCCTCCTGTCTCAGCCTCCCGAGTGCTGGGCTTTCAGGTGCGTACCACCATTCCTGGCTTCCTCCTCATGTTTTGAGCAGGGGCCTCTGGGAGGTGATGAGACTGCATAGGGCAGAGCCTCCATCTCCGAACACTGCCGGCACAGCACCTGCCTGGCAAGCTCGAGGCCCTGGGAAACCTCAGTGGAGGAATAGGACCGATTCAAAATGAAAATTCTAAGGGCCCTGGGGTATAGCTCAGTGAAAACAGTGCAGGTTTAGCAAGTATAGGGTTCTGGTTTTGATCCCCAGCACCTCAAAAATAAATAAATATTTTTAAAAGTAAAATACAACATCTGAAACTTGAAAATTGCTGGATTTGCAAACTGCACCTCTATCTAAGGATAAAGGAGAACAGAAACAGCCTCTCGGTGATCTGTGGAACAACAGATGAAGATCTATTACAAATGGGAAGGGGCCAAGAGCTAGAAGAGTGGAGGGGAGGGGGTCTGAAATAATAAAGATGCACACCGACTTCCTGAGGTCGAGGAATAGGACAATTATTTACTACAAAGGGATATAGTACTGAAAACAATAATTGAAAAAAACAGATGCACAGCAATCTAATTTTTTTGGTTTCTGGAGACAAGGTCTCACTATGTAGCTCAGGCTGGCCTTGAACTTGCGGCAACCTCCTGCCTCAGCTTCCTGAGTACAGGGATTACAGGCATGTGCCACCACACTTGGCTGACTTTTTTGTTTTGTTTTTTTGAGAAAGAAATTTAATTTTTAAAAAATCTAATATATATGTGACTGTAGATCCAGAAGGCAGGAGTAAAGAGAATGGGGGCGCTACAAAAAAATTCCAAATCTGTTACAAAAAAGCATTAAGTCATAGATTTTTCAAACAGAAAGGGGAAGGATAACAGATGAACTAAAAAAAAGTTTAAAAATGTATACCTTATATCCATGTCAACTGTTCTATTAAATGCACAAGGACTAAGAACCCTAACCGAATGGCACACTAGTTAATTAGTAAGGCTTTCTGTGTCTATGAGGACTATACTCTAAGGATAAGGGTAGAGATGCTTTGAAAGTTAAAGTTCGAATGAAACCTGCTGCGCAGAGAGAAAGCAAGAGAAAGGAGACAGCTGCAATTTCAGGTCAAGTATTCCTCATGGCAATGATTACGGACATAGCGTGGTGGTAAAACTGAATCCCTCGGAAAGCTAGCAAACACAAATGTGTCCGTGGCTCACATCAGAGCTCCTGTGCACAAGAAGCAAAGATCAACAGAATCGAATGGAGAAAGAGAAAAACCACAAATTTATTTTAATGCTTTTTTTTAAATCAACGAAGCAAAAGAGTCCGTGGAAATGTAAACAGCCTGCCTAACGTTACCAGCAGTCCTGATCTGATTTACATTTATGTAACACTGCATCCAGCAAAAGCACAGCACACATTCTCATGAGGAAATGACAACTTTGGGATATTTTCAACCTTACTAAGTCATAATAGTAGTAAAGTGAGGGGTTGGGGGGGATACAGTGCATATTTATTTTTGCACAGTCTTGAGTTCCACCCTCAGCACCAAAATTGAAAAAAAAGCAAAATGAATGAGTATAATTCATGTTCCTTTCTCTAAAATGCAAACTTTCAAAAATCAAACACAAAAGTTAAAAACATAGGTGTGGTGGTGCACACCTGTGATCCCAGCACTCAGGAGGCTGAGGCAGGATTTGCAATTTGGAGGGCAGCCTGGGCTACACAGTAAGACTCTGTCTCTATAAAAATAAAACAACAAAGGTTATTGAGAATGTATCACTGCCTATGTGGTACACCCGACTCATGTTTATCATACCTTACGGGAGAACAGTAAAAATCAATTCATAATCCAGGGGCTGTGTTATCTCCTTTCAACTCTTTCCAACAAAAATCCATTCCCCGAGGAAGCTGACTTGTTGGTTTGTCAAGGCTTGACTTTCCCTGGGAATGGCTGAGTCCTGGTGCTATCACAGGGATGCGTCATGTGGATAAGCAACTTTGTATGGATTTGAGAACCTGGTTGTTGTCTAGCTGAGGCTCTGTGACGTCCAAGTATGCAAAAAAGGGACCCCAAAGGGTCTTTAAGAATATTAAGATTATGGCCGGGCATGGTGGTCCATGTCTTGTAATCCTAGCACTTGGGAGGCTAAGGCAGGACGATTGGTGGGAGTTCAAGGCTAGCCTGAACTACATAGTAAAACCCGGTCTAAAAAAAAAATAGTAGATTGCATAAAATCCAAAATAAATAAATACAAAATGATTTTCACTTGTGTTAACACTATTTGGTATGACGGAAGTCACTGTTATTTGGCACTTGCCTTGAATTCTGCACTTTGGTAAGATTTTGTAGATTACAGATGTGTTCACTGAAGCTACTTAACAGGGGCACTGTTAATCCGCAGGACCCTACTGCACACGCTGTTCACGGTGCCAGCTGGAGTTCCACAGCCATTCTGAACGGGTGACATGTTTTATTTGTTCTCTGGCAGTAGACATGCGAGAATCTGAGAATCCCAAAGCATTCTGGAGTGGACACTAATGTGTTAGACCCCTCAATCCTTTACATTCAGGATCCTAAGGAAAGCATTTTCAGTCCTTGCAGTGTGTTTACAGTAACCAATTTTGTTGAAAATGGCTACAAGTTATACAAATTTGCAC